CCTAAAAATCAGCTTCTAAATATTTGTATTCAGAACTTTGCATGTAACATTTTTTTGCCAGTGTTTTAGTTTAAAAAAAAAATTGTAAAGGCCTGAATCTTTCTCCAGGACTCATTCTGTGTAATACCTTGTTTTGTTGTTCTCCTAGAAATCAGTAGGACTGCTTGCATGATAAGGCATTACTCTACATGAGAATGGATGACAGAATCAGGTGCTAAATTAATAATTTAACCTTTTATTCTGATGGAAAGCTTGACTGTGGCAATCAATCAAAAAACATTGTAGCATTTTGTTGAGGCTTATTGCCTTTCTTTCACAGAACAAACTATTTCAGAACTGACCCAATTCTAGTGGAGTTTGTTTTTTGTTTGTAATCTTAAAATTTAAAATAACAGAACAGGTACTTTTTAACATGACAAGAAAACTTCATGTCAAGTTTTAGCTGAAGCAGATATTTATAAGCCTCTGGAAATCAATATTAACAGCACAAATGCTTAATGCGTTTATCAACAGTGTTACTAGAAGCTTCTATGATCTTTGCCCGTTCAGCAAAGGTTAAAACATGTCTGAAGATTAGTACCACTCCTGCTCTTTTAACAGTGAGGTTATTCACATAGCTTTTGACAAGCATGGTCTAATACTGCCACTATATTCCAAAATATCTTACTGTACCAGTATTTTCTGGGTTAGCACCAAATATGTTCTTTGCAAGGCTTTTTTTTTTTTTTTAAATAGTTGGTCCTGTCACTGGCTAGCCAAATCACGAAGAGAAACAATTTAGCCCAAACAGGGTTAAATAGTGTTCAAACTCTGTTTTCATACATGGTTCAGAGTTCATCATAGATAAGGCCTTGTCGTTATGAAACATAGTTAATGTATAAAGAAAAGGAGGACTTGTGACACCTTAGAGACTAACCAATTTATTTGAGCATAAGCTTTCGTGAGCTACAGCTCAGTTCATCGGATGCATACCTAAATTCAATGATATTATAGGATCCCAATCCTGGAGGCAAAACTGCCAGTGATAGCAATGCACAAGGACTGCAGGATCAGCTGGAGGGTTCCCCAGTCACCAGTTCCACAGCTAGGCAGAAAGCAACCAGAACAACAAGCCCTGTGTGCATGTTGCTCCCCTGCCGGTGGAAGTACTTCACACGGCTCCGTTGCTCCAGTTCATTGAAAGCTTCGCTGCCCGGTGGTTAAACTAGTCTGCAGGGAAGAGGAGGGGGGCAACTGTGCTAGGGAAGGAAAGTTTTAGTTAAGTCTTTGAATTTGTTTGGATGGTGGATCCTGAATCTTAAGGCTTGTATACAAAGGAAAGCTATTGCAAAATAAAATTAGGGTGTGAACTAAAAATACAATAGCTATTCTGCACTAGTTCCCCATGTGGACACACTTACTCCACACAAAGTGGATTAACCTAAACCAAATGAAAGCACAGTTTAGGCTGTGTCTACCCCGAGGGAGACAGAAGTGTGATTCTCAGCGCAGGTTCACATGCTCATCAAGCTAGCATGAATATAAATAATGCTGCAGCCCTGGTAGCACAGGCAGCGGTGGCACAGCTTAGCTACCCGTTTCAGGTGGGCTTGTACTTGGCATGGCTAAGTTGTGTCTCTGCTGATGCTCCCTGTGCTATCATGGCTACTGCTTTAGTACTATTTATACTCGCACTAACTCTCTTCGACCTCGCACGAGGATGTGTAAGTGAGCTGGGAATCACACCCCTAGCTCATAGTGGAGAGGCAGCCTTAGTAAGGAACAAGCATTCACATTGGGAACTCATGTGGAATAGCTATTCTGGGCTATTTCCCTGTGCAGACAAGTGTACAAATGTAGCAGTTTGTTTTATAAACATCTACCAGGGTATTCAGCAGTAGATTTCCTGTAAAATTTCCAGCTGACAAACCAAACCAAAGGCAAAAGCTGATGCATATTTTTACTGGTCCACTGTGAGTTTAAAATATAATAATTTTTAAACAATTTTAAAAACGTATTTGAATTGAAATATTGTATTTGAAAAAGCAACAGTGTGACATTATGATGATACTGTTAGCTAGAAAAAAAGATGGTCCTGTAGTTAGGGTATTAGCTTAGCACCTAGAAGACCCAGGTTCAATATCTTGCTTTGCCCCATGCTTTCTGTGTGACTGTGGGCAAGTCACTTGGCCTCTCTGTGCCTCAGATCACCCGTTTTATAGATGGGGATAATAGCACTTCCCTACCTCACAGGGGTATTGTGAAGATAAATGCATTAGAGATTGTGAGGTGCTCAGATACTATGGTAATTTGGCCATATAAGTACTTTAAAGAGCTAAATAATATCAGAGCAACATAATCACAGGGCAGTGGTGATACAGAGTATGGTCAGATTGCAATTTATCTGGTTGAAAGGTTCATGTGTTGTATAATATTTATTTATCCAGTAAAACAGTTAAATTAGAAGAATGATCCACTGCATTACACTGTGTAGAATAATACAGTAATGTTTGTCTACAGCCCTTCTTTCCCCATAATTTGAAATAGCCAAGATGAAACAAATTTAGGTCTGTACCCGCAGCAGTATGATGCAGTGCTACCTGTTTTGCCAAGGTGACTCCAATTCACAAACTTTAATGCAGAAGGAAAGCAGCTTGCATGTAGACAGGTTTACAGTATTACAGATGCTGATGAGTAGGTTCAGTAAATCTCAGTTCATGTGTCCAGTCTTTAGATCCTTGGGCTGATACACAGTAGCGCACTGTTAGAAGTACTCTTCTTTAGACCAGGTGTTTAAACAAAGGTTCTTTTGCTCTGGGTCGTACTGAAATCCAAAGATGCACTTTGGATGCAAAGATGCACCTTTGGTCAGGGAAATCGGGTAGTCTCAACATTTCCTCTGTCAGTGAAACAGATTTGCTCAAACAAGGTTGTACTTGAGTGCCTGATGACAGTTGAATTCTCATATGCAGTCAGTTGCTTTGCTACCAAAATCCATCCCTTTACATTATAAAGCATTTTCAATATGTCTAATTCAAAAAGTAAAGTTTATAACTAAGTCCCAGTCTCATTCAATTTCATATTACAAAAGGTGTGCACAATGTGTAGCTGCATTCACTAATCCAGCATCCAACCACCACAGACTTGATTCTTTCTAAATTGTCCCCTGTGCTAATTAGTGGTTGCTATAAAAAATCAGGCATCAGTGACAACAAAATGAAGAGTGGTCTGATCAGGTTAAGGGATGATAAAATCATATACTATTCAGTCAAATTAACTGAAGTCAAATGAGCATTTTATGTTTTAGCATCTTATCCATTACATGAGACATCTTCCTAATCCCATTTCCCTAATTACATTGTATTTCTTGCTGGTGAAAAAAAGTGCTGTGTGATTTTAAAATATATATTTGCAATTAGTTTCTCCCACACTGGTCCTGTCAGTACTTCTTCTGCAAAGATTTCCAGAAATCCTTTGTTAGTCCTACTTTTACAAGAACTACTGATGCACTTCTTTAGGAGAAAGAAGATGAGGAGAGTAAGGAGGCAGGCTAATTGAATTCACAGAAAGATAAGTGAATATCTGATAAGAAATGCACCCTGTCCATATGATGACAAAGACTCTGGGTCAAGTTATCATTTACATGAAAACCACTTTACACTACTTGCAAAGGGCCCTTAGGCCAGGTCTACACAACAAATCTGTATCGGTATATCTGTTGTCCAGGGGGTGTGAAAAATCCGCACCCTTGAGCGACATAGCTATACCATCCTAACTCCCCGTGTAGACAGTGCTGCATTGATGAGAGAGCTTCTCCTGCTGACATAGCTACAGCCTTTGGGGAGGTGGATTAATCGTTGACAAAGGAGCATCTTTACTAAAGTGCTACAGTGGTGCAGTTGCACTAGTGTGAAAACAAGCCCTTAGTGTAAATGAGAATCAGGTCCTGAGTATTTAGTGGAAAACAGCGTACCTGGGTTTTTAATGTTGGGAAGAATATGGGGCCCAGTCCTGCAGCCATGGCCAGATTCTGTCTAGTCTTATGCAAGAGGTCCCAAGAACCTTTCACCCCAGCTTCAACTCTGGTGTGCAGCCTATGTAGGGGGTCAATCAGAACAGCAATGTCTGTGATCGGGGGAGTATAGAAACTTCTGTCCCTATGCTCTCAGGAGTGGACAGTACCCAAAAGGAGGATGTGAGGCCCACTGAACAGGACTGGTGCCCAGCAGGGAGAAGGCTGCAGTCCATAAAGAAGTATAGTAGTGGAAATGCTCCCCTCCCTGTTGACGTTTAGGGAAGTAGAATGCTCCCAGTCTTCTTGTTCAGGTAGTGCAGCTTTACCAAAATGAGGCTTTTCCTAAGAGCCATACTGTAGTGCTGAGTGAGCGTGAAAGTTTTTAGGATCCTAAGGAGTGCTGCTTTTGGTTCATCTACAATCCTTTTCTGACATTTTAATCTGCTCTTGACAATACTTCCACAGTCTACAACTTCAAGCATTCTCACGAGCAAGCAATGCTAAAAACTGTGGGCCAGAGCCTCATCTGGAATAAATTGGCATAACTCCAGTGAAATAAATGGAGCTACAGTCATTTACACCAGCTAAGGATCTGGTTCCAGGAGTAGTTTTTGTAGCAGGCACCACTATCAAATACTATAGCTAAAGTTGCAGATCTGATTCTATTATTATGACATCCTGGTGCTGATTCTGGTACACTGCTCCAATGGTATATAGGGGCCACAGTTGTACCACAGGATGCTGTATGGAAATAAGTGAGATTACATATGTGTTCTAGAGATATTTTTAATGTTACAGAGTTATTAAAATCAGATGTTGCTTTTCTTCAGTGAATAGTATAAGTTTATCTTGTGCACTTTGTATTTACATAAAACTGGATTCTACATTTAGGTAAAAAAGATTTGAATGCTATACATAAAATTGTTTCATTGCTTACTTCTGCTGCCACCAGATGTCGCTGTGTTTATAAATAAGTGATGGTTCATCTGTTCTCTTCTCTTTTCAGCTTTTTTTCCCCTTTGACTTAATCAAGTATGATTTTAAAAAAGATGAACCGATTAGAAATAGGCATGGTTGGTGTGAGAAGGTTAAGAAAGGTAAGCATTCATTATAACAGGATATGTTCACCCTATAAATAACTTGCAGGTGTTTTTTTTTTTTAAATGAACTGTATTGTTGTGTTACAAGTGATAAAGCACCGACATCAGCTAATAATAACCTATAACAATCTGCCTACAAAATCAGTAGGTTTAATGACCTGAAGTGGTTCATTTTTAAACATGTGAGGCTTTAGAAGCACAATCTGTTTAATGGTAGACTGCCTAAGGACAAAAGCACGAATAGGGAAAAGATGGTCTTTCTTTTCTGCTTGAAATTTCAAAATTTATCAGAATGAAAACCTTTTTAAGTGTCAGAATTTTCCAGACAATGAAATTCTGAGTTTTGACAAGTTCTAACTGTATCTGGGAAAATAGTGGTTCTGAAAAGATATTAGGATTCACAGTGGACAAGCAACTCCATGTGAGCTCTCAGTGCGATGCTGTGGCAAAAACGGCTAATGCAATCCTTGGCTATATAAGTAGGGGAGCAGTGAGTAGGTTTAGGGAGATGATTTTTACCTCTGTATAAGTGATTGATGAGACAGATACTGTATACAGTTCAGATTTCCATATTTTAAAAAGCATATTGTAAAATTGGAGAAGATACAAAAAATAATTAGAGGGCTGGAAAAAATGCCTTACTGTGAAAGACTAAAAGAGCTCATTCTGTTTAGCTTATCAGAAAGATTGAGAGACTACCTGATACATGTATAAGGAGACTACCTTTCTGGAAGTTATGTGTTAACCAAACAAAAGTTATAGGACTCAATACAGGGGTAATTGGGTAAAATTAATGGTCTATGATATAAAAGAGGTTAGAGTAGATGCGCTAGTAGTACCTTCTGGCCTTAAACTTTATGAATCTAAGAAAAGCAAGGCAAAACCCTGTTATGTAGTCTTTTTATGCTTTCTCCAGGATTTGGTCCTAAACTCCTTGTAATGTTTTCTATCCCTTTTGGGTATATTTTTTATTGGAGTACTTTTCTCTGCTAGAACAATGTAACCCTCTGGTTTTACTGTTCAGAAAATGCTTTAATAAATGTGAGACCCTACAGTTAAAACTTGTGTGTATGGGTAACCCTAGAATGCTCAGGGACACAACCAACCATTCCAGGAATGCGCTGTATACTTGGTGTTTCGAACTAGTAGTCCATAGAAGTATTCTACCCATGCATTCTATGTGCAACAAGCAGACTTATTTCCTCCTCTCCTAACTTGTCTGTTATTTTCTGAAAATAGATTTGGTTAACTTTTATAAGTTAATTGGCAAAGAAAGAAAACTGATTCTGTATAAATATAATCCACTTTTCTGGCTTCAATGGAAACTGCTGCGGAGCTCAGTACTCTTGAAAATCAGGCTATTTAAATATGGATTTAATACCTAGCTTTAGACATACATTTTTTGCAAATCTTGGGTACTTTATTTTGAGTATTAAAAGGAAACTAATGCTGACAATTATAATTCACTAAGAAATGTGAGATCTAATCTTTCTTGGCAGGTGCACTTTAGTAAGTGATATCTCTAAAACAGAGCAGAGTCTGATCCTCCACTGCCTTGCATCTTGTGTAGTGGTATTTATCCTGTAAACAGTTAATGGGGATAAGAGGGAAGGTCCTCTCCTGGATCAGTAACTGGTTAAAATATACAAAACAAAGGGTAGGAATAAATGGTCAGTTTTCAGAATGGACAGAGGTAAATAGTGGTGTCCACCAGGGGTCTGGCTGGTGCCAGTGCTGTTCACCATATTCATAAATGACCTGGAAAAGGGGGCAAACAGTGAGGTGGCAAAACTTGCAGATGATAGAAAACTACTCAAGATAGTTAAGTTCCAAGCAGACTGCGAAGAGTTTCAAACGGATCTCACAAAAACTGGGTGACTGGGCAACAAAATGGCAGATTAAATTCAGTGTTGATAAATGCAAAGTAATGCACATTGGAAAACATAATCCCAACTATAGATATAAAATGATGGGGTCTAAATTAACTGCTAACACTCAAGAAAGAGATCTTGGAGTCATTGTGCATAATTCTATGAAAACATCCATTCAATGTCCAGCAGCAGTCAAAAAAAAACAAACAGAATGTTGGGAATCATTAGGAAAGGGGTTGATGATAACACAGAAAATACCATATTGTCTCTATATAAATCTATGGTATGCCCACATCTTGAATTCTGCGTGCAGATCTGGTTGCCCCATCTCAAAAAAGATATATTGGAATTGGAAAAGGTAAACAAAAATGATTAGGGGTGTGGAAAAGCTTCCATATGAGGAGAGATTAAGCAGACTGGGACTTTTCAGCTTGGAAAAGAGATGACTAAGGTGTGGGAAATATGATAGAGGTCTCTAAAATCATGACTGGTGTGGCGAAAGTAAATAAGAAAGTGTTATTTACTCTTCCTCATAACACAAGAACTAGGGGGCCACCAAATTAAATTAACAGGCAGGAGGTTTAAAACGAACAAAAGGAAGTATTTCTTCCACAGGTTGACGGTGCATTGTGTGAACTCTTCACCAGAGGATGTTGTGAAAGCCAAGACTATACCAGAGCTCAAAAAAGAACTAGATAAGTCCATGGAGAATAAGTCTATCAAAGGCTATTAGCCAGGATGGACAGGGGTGCAAAATCATGCTCGGAAGTGTCCCTAGCCTCTGTTTGCCAGAAGCTGGGAATGGGCAACAGGGGACAGATCACCTGATTAACTGTTCTGTTCATTCCCTCTGAAGCACCTGGCATTGGTCACTGTCGGAAGACAGGATACTGGGCTAGATGACCATTGTTCTGATCCAGTACGGCCATTCTTATGATCTTATGTAATGTAAAACACTATCTTTCCTATTTGGCAGCAGTTTATATGCACCTTGGACAACTGCAAAGGACTACAGAAGGTGCAAGGCAGTAGATCAGAAGACACACTATTGTTTGTTGGTCTCATAGGCTAATTCCACCATGTCGAGTTGGGTATCTAGTATCTTAATATTGTAAATGTAGGATATGTAGTCAATTAACATTAATGTAAACATTAACATGAACTATCCTGTGATATCTTACATCACTATTCACCTTAACTTTTCTCTGTAGGTGAGGCTGGTCTTCTCATTTCCAAAGTGAATGCAAAGAATCCCTTCTTTGGTTATGCTGGGAGTAAGAAACATACAGAAAAGAAATTACTCTGCGAGGTGTTTAAGAAGGGAGACATTTATTTCAATACAGGGGATCTGATGGTTCAAGACCAAGAGAATTTTCTTTACTTTTTGGATAGGATCGGGGATACCTACAGGTACAATCACTATGTCCTTATTAAAAAGCATTAGTGCATGGGATAGGATAATATTGCTTGACCTGTTTTGCTCCTCTCCTCGCTCCCAAGTGTCTCTGGTTCATATCCATTCTTGAAGTATATAACAGTGCTAGTGTTTAATTTTGTGAGCAGCATGCAACCATACCTAACTTCATTTTGTGGCAGGTTTTCATTCAACGTCCCTCATGATCCTTCTCATGAGCATTCTAGCAAATGGTGGGCAAGGAGACTTGGCACACTGAAGTAGAGAAGTGGGGAAATGTATCAAACAAAATAGATGTCTACATTTGGTAGATTTAGCTGGATATAAATGTTGAAAATAATTTATTTCAGATTAGTATAGGATTTACTTGTTTTCATTATTTATTTATTTATTTTTAAATGCAGCTGTTTTAGCAAAGCTTACTCTTATGGTGATCAGAGCATCACATTAACTGGACATGCTAGAACAAATGTAGGGTATATTTAGACCAATGTACTCATAATTCCTATAAAAGGTAATATTACTATTATTAATTTGTATTATTATAGTGCCTAGGAGCCCCAATCTTGGATCATGACCCCACTGTGCTAGGTCCTGTACAAACACAGTGGAGTCAAGGCCCATGACTGTGGCTACTAGGCACAATAATAAGATAAACTATTATTATTATTATTATTTTATTATTATTAATAATATTAATGTTACCTTCCCCCAAAGAGCTCATAATATCCATCAGGAGTACAATATGCCCATATGTTTTCATGAGGGTACAGTGTTTTGTTCTCCACTCCCGACTCCATTTAGATGGAAAGGAGAGAATGTTGCAACTACTGAAGTTTCTGATGTCATTGGTATGTTGGACTTCATACAGGAAGCCAATGTATATGGTGTTCCTGTGCCAGGTAAGAACCTTTTATTTCTAGAGGTTTTTCATTAAATTCATGCTTCTATTCCTCATAACTTTTATTTTTGCTTTACAAAGTTATACAATCACTTTTAATTAACTTGGCTATTTAATATTCAGCTCTCTAAAAAGCTCTTAAGAAGAGCTCAGATAACAAAAGATTGTGGATCAGCCATTTAACCTTGTACTTTGATTTATGTGGAATATAAGAGAGACAACTTGATGTTGTATTGTTGTTATAAAGGTTATTTTGCCATGAATTTGAGACTACTGCATAACTTGAATTAATCCTCTGAGCATCATTAATATGGCATCTGGGAAACCCAAACATTTGTATGGAAAAATAGAAACATTTCAACAGAGTGAGGAAGCAAAGAACTTTTAATCACTTAAATTAAAAAAAAAGTCACATTAAACTAAGCATTTGAGCTAGTTTGCTTTCATCTTTTAACACAGTCCAGTAAACTAGTGCTGAGGGAGAATTTCCCTGGGAACCTAAAAAGAAATGAATGAAATATGTAAAACAGTATGATGATAATAAACAAAAAAAAAAGTTTGCCGAAAATGGTCTGGGCCTGATTTCCATTCATGCTACAGCCTCTTTACACCCCACTGGGAGGTTAAAGAGGTTTGAAAGTAGGTGCAAGTTTAATTTACTCACACTTTAAAGCCCCTTTACTCTGAAAGAGCAATGTAAAGGAGCCTTACTGTAACTGAGAATCAGGACTACTCTGTCTACAGTGGTCTCCATTGTATGTTCAACACTGGCCAACAAATAGTATAATTTTTACCTAAATTTTAAAAAAAAGGAATAATTTCAATATCTCACATGCCACTGTGGGACAACTTTTGGCAAATACTGAATTTTTAATGGCAGCCGCCCTCTGTGTATTAAAAGTAAGAGACCACATAATTGCAAGGTGATATAAAAAGGTTTATTGTTATGAGTTTAGGGTGGCTGCTTTACTCCAGAGTGGCAGAGGCACTCATCTGGAATAGCTTGCATAACCTGTGAGTGGATAATAAGGCTAAGATTTTATCACAGATATTTTTAGTAAGTTACGGACAGGTCATGGCCAAAAGAAAAATTCAAGGAAGCCTTGACCTATCCCTGACTTTTACTAAAAATATCTGGGACAAAATGGGGAGCTGCGGGTCCCAGCACTGCTTGAAGTGGGGCAGCTGTGCAGGGGGTAAGAGCAGCTTGCAGCAGGTGGGGGGCGTAGGGTACTCCTGCTGCCTGCAGCTCTGGGGGGTCCCCCCATTGCCCGTGGTGGCCAGGAGCTGTGGGGTGCACCTGCCTCCCATGGGAGCAGGGAGCTGTGGGTACCCCTGCTGCCATTAGAGGCAGCAGGGGTACCCTGCAGCTCCCTGCCCCCCACAGGCGGCGGACTGAAGTCACAGAGGGCACTGGAAGTCATGGATTCCATGACCTCCATGACTAAATTGTAGCCTTGCTAATAAGTAATGCAGTCATCCTAAACAGAAAAAATATTACAGAAAGTTCTAGAAACCTAAGCTATCTAGTCATAACTTTTCTTTTCTGCCAGTACTTAAGTTATTCTCAGACATTCCTATAATAATTTCCCCTATAAAATTTGTGACAAAATATACGATATGGTGATGAAGTATAAGGAATTCATTTGAGCCTGCCTACATAACTCACTTATGGTTCTGGTACATAAGAGTAATGTAGTCATTCCACATTTATTCCAGTAAAGCTTTTGTCATTTTGTGTGTTCACGTGTATATTTTATCGTTTGATTGAAACATAAATACTACATACATTCTTAATCAGACACATTTTCAGTATATTAATATATGGTTTTTAAAGTCAGGTTACACTAAGATTGAAAATTTCCAGATTATGTAGCATATAACTAATTTTAAACTTTTTTTCACAGATCATGAAGGAAAAGTGGGAATGGTCTCTGTTACTTTGAAGCCCAATAAGTCATTAGATTTAGAACAAATGTATGAACAAGTTGTGACATATCTACCAGGCTATGCTTGCCCACTATTTTTAAGACTCCAGGTAATTTACATTTATTGTGCAGGACACACAAATATCACATGTGAACAGAACACTGACAAAGATCATAAAAGGCAATATGGTGGGTTGAAGAGAAGGTATCTGATGGTGTATTGCACAGATTGACCGTATGACCAGTCCTATTTACCATCTTCATTTATGATCTAAAAGGGGAAATTATACAGCATAGTAATGGAATTTGCACATTATGCTAAACTGGGAGGAGTCATGTACAGCTGTGAGGACGGAGATAATACAAAGAGATTTACAGAGATTAGAAACATGGACAGGGAATAACAAATTATATTCAGATTAATAAATGGTACCTAATGCATCTGAGAAAATAACCTGAAATCTATATAGTTAATGGAAGGGAGAGAGCTGGGAAGAAGTAATGCTGAAAGAGAAGGGGTGATAGTAGACAGCGAACTAGACATGCATTTGCAGTGTGACATAGCCACAAAAATGCCAAGGTATCCTGTATTGGAGCAAAGTTAACAAACCTTCTCTATATGGCTCTGATGCTCCTGCACCTGGAATAGTATATTTAATTCTGAGCACATATTACCAGAGAGATTTTGACAAATTGAAGGGAGTTGAAAGGAACATAATATTATCAGGAGGCTGGAGGAAAGGTTAAGAGCAAACTGTGTATTGTTTGTGTAAGCAACAGTAAAGGTGCAAGAGGTAATGCTACAAATTTCTGAAGGGTGTTAATAGCAAGGGGAGAGAGGAATGATGTATTGTTATAAATTGGAGTAGCTGGATGAAACTAGAAAAGCAAACCAGGCTAAATAGGGAGGAAAAAATTTCCTGACAGACAGATATGAGGTTCTGACTAACGTACCATTCCCCTTTCCCTCCCCCTTATCCCCCCCTTCCCCCGCCAGGAAGGAGTGATTTTAAAAATTAGACTAGGTAGAACATTACAAAGTATTTAGTAGAGAGCAATCCTGCATAGCAAGTGGATGGACTTGATCAGGGTTTCTCAGACTGGGGGTTGGGACCCCTCAGGGGGTCATGAGGCTATTACATGGGGGGGTCGCACGCTGTCAGCCTCTATCCCAAACCCCGCTTTGCCTCCAGCATTTATAATCGTGTTAAATATGTAAAAAGGTGTTTTTAATTTATAAGGGGGGGTCGCACACAGAGGCTTGCTATGTGAAAGGGGTCACGAGTACAAAAGTTTGAGAACCACTGGACTGGATGATCCAATATGACTCTTCCATCTTCCGTTTCTGGATATTAGTATGGGAACTTATTGGGGGAATTCAGAGATGCTCATTTACATTATAAATAGAGGCTCTTGATTGTGACAGTCTATACTTTGTGAACATCTTCCTAAATTTTGTCTTTATAAATGTTCACAAACGCAGAGTAGTTAAGAAGCTGGGCTATTTCAGTCAAATGTGGGCTCTCCTATAAAGCCTTTGATTTGATACTACAGTTGCAAGATCCAAAATATAGTTTGCAACATTCTTCCCTCTTGTTTCAAACTCTTGTCCCATGCCAGCATGCGGGTTCTGTGGCTCAGTCCCTAAAGAGGGAGAGTAAGAGAATAAATTAGAGAGACATATATGTTTGTGTGTAGAAGAATATTTAATAGAGGGACAAGGAAACTCGAAATGTGGCCCAGCCTAGGCAACAATAAAAGGGCTAAGACCCAGATTGAATAGGAGGGAGGGTTAACTGTTGTCACCATGGAGCTGTCAGTCAGCAAGAAACGATTTTGCTCTGCTCCTTGTGGTTTTGGAACATAAGCAGGAAATTTCACGCTAGTCTTGATTGGGCCTCAGTTACTTAAGGGATGGACTGCAAATTTGTCATCACTGGGTAAACCAACCTTACACTTAAGTCAAGAAGGTAGGTGTCCATGCAGACGAGAAAAAGCATTAAATATTTCCACTTAACCTTAAATAATTTTCTTTCTCCCCTAGGAAACAATGGAAATGACAGGAACTTTCAAACAACAAAAATTTCGGTTGGTGAGGGAAGGGTTTAATCCATCTGCAATCACTGATCCACTTTATTTTTTATACAGTTCTAAAAAATCTTATATTCCATTAACCAAAGAACTTCATGACAAGATCTTATCTGGGCAACTGAAACTTTAATTAGTGTTAAATTAACAGATTTGATAACTACTTTGTAAGAAGCAACAAAGGCACTAAGTAATATTTCTATGTAGTTTGTATTCTTGATATTTTGCAGCCATATCTTTTTGGATTCAGAAGTTTCACTACACCTTTCAGTTTTGATCGTCACTGAACACTAATAATTTTCTATCTCCTGAAACACCAAATATACTTTATATTACTTATGAAACATGTTTAAAATGTATCTTCTTTGTGATTTGGGGTATGAACGTCTTGAACCTATTTTCTATATCAGACATGAATGAGTGATAGTTACAGAAAAATAATAATATACACAGAAATAAATTATATTGGAAAAATATACTACTGTTAGTATTGTTGCTTGAGACTAACATCTATTTTACTGTACTTAATAGTTTTCCTTTAAATTTCATAAAGCCAAATGATTATTTATAAAATGTTAAAATTAAAAAGGAACTGAAGAAAGGTAGGGAAAAAACCACAAACTATAATTTTCCTGCTCTATGAAAACATTGACTTAAGCTGCTTAGTTTCAATACATGGAAGGCATACAGCATACATTGTTCTTATCTCCTTCCCACATGGCATCTGGATCTTGGTTCTGTCCTCATCTGATTCCTAATCCACTTACCTTCTGCAGCATATTTAAATTCCTTGTCCACATGCAAGATGCAAGTTTACTGCTCTAAGGGCCCAGGCCAAAGCCGTTGAAGGCAATGGTGATCTCTCTGGCTTTTTCCATTCACTTCCATACATGGGGGAACCATCCCTCTTCCTGACCTTGTTTTCCATAATCCAATCTTAAACGCACACATGCCTAAAGCCTACAGATCATAATGCTCCCTCAAAGCAACATCAACAAGATAAATAAGAAGAGAGTTGGACATCAAAAAATCCTCTTAACAAAACATGGAACTAATGAAATGTGTGGTAGCTTCACTGCTCAGCAGCATGCCTTTTTGTTGTCATCTATTCCCTTCCTTCATTTGTACCTTGTCTCTTTAGACTGTAAACTTCTGAGGGCAGGGTATACTGTCTGGTAAAGCAACTAGCACACTTTTGGCACTGGATAAAAATATCCATGCATTGATGTGCATAGTCCTGGTCTGTTGGGTAGTGTCACTCAGATGTAGTTAGGACAAATGGATTGGAAGTCATTGCCAGCTGAGGGCAAAAATTGTTCTTAGAACATTAAAAAAAATGTATAAAACAAGAATATTAGTTCTTTAAAAGATTCATCTTAATTAACCAGTGGGTGCCTTGTTTTCTTAATGACTGATTCGGATTATTATTTGAAGGTATTTTAAAATTCTAGACATACATGCTAAAACACTGTTCTTAAGAGTTTTAAAATAAAGTGTAAAAGTTAAAATAAACTGTATTTGTGTCAGTCTGATTTAGGATTAATGACAAAGTTTTGTTTTGGGATTGGTTACATTATGCGCCTCACAGAGGACAGATGGCGGATTTAAAAAATATATTAGGTTAGATTGTCTCCTCTCCTGAACCTTCCTGTTATGCCAAATTTCTCCAATTAGTCCGTCAATCAGATGTGATATTTACAGACTTACAAAAATTGAGTCTTCTACTCCTCATTGTTCAAAATATAGTGATGCTGCTGCTGCTATTCAGCATTGGACACAACATCTCTTTATCCGGTATGATTGCAGCACAAAGACCACCTGAAAGTCGTAGTCTAAAATGGATTGCTTACAATTTACATCTTCTACTTTTATTTTTAACTTTAGAAGTCTGTTGAAGTCGTGTTATTAATGTTTATACTAGAATGTACAGTACAAATACTGTTTGAGATCAGAATGTTCACTGCTATTGGCCTTTAACTAAATATTGGTCTAATCTTTGCCTTTCTGCAGTCCTTTTTCCGATTACAAATTTGATTTGGACCTTAAAAAAATAAAAGGTCCTACCATTGCGCTATTTGAATGTACACTACCTTGCATGCTCCAACAACTCTCAGGGCTGATTTATGCTTGACATAAAGAAGGCTGCTTTAACTTAGGCTGGCTAGCAACAGCCTTCCAGGGGCTATCTGTTAGCTGGGATCACTAGAGAACAACAGAATTCCAGCAAAAGTCATGCCATTACATGAACCAATTTGCCATGTAGAAGATCTTATTGGCTCAACAAAAGCCTAGATTGTGGTTCTGGCTACTCAGCCAGGCAGAGGAGTGGCTGAATTAACTGTGCCCAGAGAGTGACTCCAGGCAGAAGTGGTAGGGCATGTTCTGGGAGCGCTATATTACCCTTTGCCCCCAACAAACAAATGAGCAGGTATTGGGCACAGCCATGGTGGAGCTGGCTGGGTACAAGAAAGGAGGGCTATAGCAAAGTACTCCTGACCCTACCCTACAGCAAGAGGCCTCTCTGAGATGCAAAACCACCCTGAGTTTCTCCTAGGATGGTGCAATTTACACATCCCCCTTATTCTGGCCAGGTTTACACAAGAAACTTTTACCAGGATAATATCGGTTAGAGGCCTGATTCTTAACAACATTTTTGTAACAGCAAGAGCTTTAGAGTAAATGCATTTATCCTGTCAAAAATGTCCTTTTGCCAGTTTAGTTTGTTTGGGGAACTGCATTATTTTGCCACAATGAACTACGTCTCCACGGGGAAGTGGGGCTGCTGGTATAGCTGTCCCAGTGTAACTATATTGGGAAAGTCGTTCTAGTGTAGACCTGCTGTCTAGAATCAGCCTAATGACTCAATCTAAGCCAAAAGGAAAAAAAATCTTAAATTCAGTGTTGAGTACAGACAATATTTTAAGCACATTTTGCAATAGGGTGATTGACTGCCTTGATGCATATTATCTGAATTCTGATATTGAAAGAGTTCTGATTAATTCTGCTCTTTAATTCAAAATGACCTGCTGTGTGCAGATACCCACAATTTTCAAAAGGGTGAGTGATCCTTCAAACACAACTCTCAGTGTTTACTGTATGCAAGGAAACACGTTTGTTTTTAAAGTGTTAAAGAAAATGGCTTATGTAAGTTTTCCATTTGATATATGGCCAGATAATAGATTTTGGTAGATAGCTGTATTTCATAATGGAACTTATGTATTTGTGACCAAAGCTAATGAGATTACTGTGTGTATAATAGAAACGTAAGTGGCCAAACTATTTGTATTGGTTTCCAGATCAGACACCCTATTTCACTGATGCAGGAGATGTTTATAATCAGTTGCAAACTCTCACTATGGTGACATTTTTTATGTTTACATCAGTCAAGTCAACAGTTTACACAAAGTATACATTCAAAACACAGATCTGAGTTATGAAAGTGGAGCATTTTTTGTCCTATTAAATGAACAGATGACAGATGTTTAAGAAAAATACATTTTTTCTAATTGCAGTTACTCAGCCTAAGTAAACGTATTTGTTAGTGAGGCTGAGGATGTTTTTGTATAGTTTCGGGTTTTCATTCCAATTGGTAGGTGATGGATAGCTGAGGCTACAACTGGCCATTTTTTGAGTTGGCTACAAGATTCTACTTTTGCATTAAAAGGCCTTTTTCCCTTTTATTCACAGTGGTGAGCATTTATTCAGGTGAGTAGTCCCACTGAAACCAGTGGGTCTACTTGTGTGGATGACTGCTCACCAGTGTGAGTAAATGGGTCATCATTTTACCTTTAAGCAGGAGATCGCACCCATTTGGACCTATGCACAAGACAAATTCTAGCTAAATAGACAGGCCTTGACCTGATCCCTAAAGATTAAAAAAATCATAACAGGGTCACAAGACCTGCAAAACTCCAAAATTGAGGACCTTCCACCAAAATTGCTGTTCCACAAGGTTTCCAACACTCATTCCAACATTAATTTGAGCTCTGTGGCTGACCTCAATCATCATGAAGATATAGGGGAGGAGAGGTTGTCTATAAAGTACTCTGGACTGAGGCCAGATAGAGATTTATACAATATATTAAAAACAGTATGTGCAACAATGAAGAAACTAGTACAGTGTAATATGTTTGGGGTATCTAGCGCTACTGAGCACTGTATTGAAGTCATCAAGAAAAGTCACAAGGTGGAACACATTACGATAATCCAACTGTCATAACCATAAGGGTAGCCTAAAATTCCTCCTTACCTGTAAGGGGTTAAGAAGCTCAAATAACCTGGTTGGCACCTGACCAAAGGAACCAATGGGGACAAAGATACTTGCAAATCTGGGTGGGGGGAGAGGCTTTGTTTTGGGTTCGTTTCTGTGTTCATTCACTCTTGGGACTAAGAGGGACTGGACATCAATCCATGTCCTCCAAACCATTCTGAACCAGTCTCTCATATTACAGAAATTGTAAGTACAGCCAGGCAAGGCGTATTTATCTTTGTTTTCTCAACTTGTGAATTTTCCCTTTGCTGGAGGGAGGTTTATCCCTGTTTTGTTGTAACTTTGAAACTAAGGCTAGAGGGGGTTCCTCTGTGTTTTGTGCATCTTTTGTTACCCTGTAAAGTTATCTTCCAACCTGATTTTACAGAGGGGATTTTTACCTTTTCTTTTTTTTTTTAAATAAAATTATTCTTTCAAGAAATGATTGATTTTTTTTTTCAGTATACAAAGATCCAGGGATTTGGGTTTGTGTTCACTTTGTAACCAATTGGTTTGGATATTATTCTCAAACCTCCCCAGGAAAGGGGGTGTAAGGGCTTTGGGGGATATTTTGGGGGAACAGGAACACCAAGTGGTCCTTTCCCTGATTCTTTGTCTAAATCACTTGGTGCTGGCAGCATACTGTTCAAGTACAAGGTGGAATTTGTGTTTGGGAAAGTTTTTAACCTAAGCTGCTAAAAATAAGCTGAGGGGGTCTTGCATGCCAGTACCCACATCTTTACCTCAGAGTTCAGAGTGGGAAAAGAACCCTGACACCAACCTTGAAGATACAAAGTCATGCACCATCACTGTGAGGTCCACATCTGAAAGAAAAGGTCATACACAGTATATAACAGAGTAGGAAATGGTTTTCCCAACCTGCACAAATTCGAGATTTTGAAAAATTTTCCCATCCCAACTTGGGAAGAAAAAACAAAATTTCAAAAATTTTCATGAACTGAAAATGCGTGGAATAAAAAAGAGTTTATAACTATACATTCAATTAAATTTCTAAATAAAAAATCATTTTGGCCCAGAAGATAAAACTCTTTGGTTTTGTAAGTGTAAAAAGTCTCATTATGACAATTTTAAAAAAATGTTGAACAGGAAATTAACCAAAATCACTCCTTTCCCACAAATGGCTACCTTTCGCATCTCCCCCCCCCAAAAAAAACCCAACAAAACCAAAAACAAACCCCTCTTCCCCACCCCAAAAAACCCACACACAATTTTAATAGAATCATAGAAATATAGGGCTGGAAGCAACCTTGAAACCTTGTGAAGTCCAGCCTCCTATGTTGAGGATGGAACAAGTAAATCTAGACCATCTCTGACAAGTGATTGTACAACCTGTGCTTGAAAAGCCTTCAATGCTGGGGATTCCACCGCCTCTCTGGGTAACTACTGCAGTGCTTAACTACCCTTAGAGTAGAAAGTTTTTCCTAATATCTAACCTAAAGCTCCCTTACAGCAGATTAAGCCCATTACTTCTTAGTCTACTTTCAGTGGGCCTGGAGAACAATTGATCACCATCTTCTTTATAACAGTCCTTAACATACTTGAAGACTTATGATCAGGTCCCCCCTTTGTTTTCTTTTTCTCAAAACTAAACATGCCCTTTAACCTTTCCTCCCAGATTAGATTGTCTAAATTTATCATTTTTGTTGCTTTCCTCCAGACTCTTTCCAGTTTGTCCACATCTTTCCTAAAGTGCCCAGAATTGGACACAATACTTCAGCTGAGGCCTCACCACTGCCAAAGAGAGATGGACAATTACCTCCTGTATCTGACATACAACACTTCTCTGAATACACACATAATGATATTAGTCAATTTTGCAACTGTATCACATTGATGACTCTCATTCAATTTGTGATCTACTATAGTCCTCAGATCCTTTTCAGTAGTGCTACCACTTAGTCCCCATTTAGTAGCTGTGCATTTAATTTTTCCTTCCTAAGTACTTTGTACTTGTCTTTATTGAATTTCATCGTATTGGTTTCAGACCAATTCTCTAATTTGTTACGGTCATTTTATATTCTAATCCTGTCCTCCAAAGTGCTTACAACCCCTCCTACCTGCTTGTCATCTCCAAATTTTACAAGCATACTCTCCACTCTATTATCCAAGTCATTAATTATTATCCTGTGTCCCCCCACTAGATACACTTTGCCAGTTTGATGGCAAACTCATTGAGTACAGTTTTTCAAACAATTGTTCCCCTACCTAATAGTAATTTCATCTAGACCCCATTTTCCTAGTTTGCTTATGTGAATGTTGTAAGGGATTGTGTCAAAAGCCTTATTAAAATCAAGGTATATTATGTATACTGTTTCTGCTTTATCTACTATGGTGGTAACCAGGTCAAAGAAGGAAATTAGGGTGATTTGGCATGATTTGTTCTTGATATATCCATGCTGGCTATTTCTTATAACCTTATTATTTTCTAGGTGGCGTCCAGAACTGGGGACAGTACTCCAGCTGAGGCCTTACCTGTGCCAAATAGAGCAGGACAATTATGTCCCACATCTTACATACCACACTCCTGTTAAATTACCCCCAAAAGACATTAGCCTTTTTTGCAACTGCATCACATTGTTGACTCGTATTCAATCTGTGATTCACTATAATCCCCAGATCCTTTTCAGCACTACTACTGCCTAGCCCCATTTTTGTAGTTGTGCATTTAATTTTTCCTTCCTAGGTGTAGTATTTCATACTTGTTACTAAATTTCATCTGGTGGATTTCAGACCAATTCACCGATTGGTCAAGGTCATTTGGAATTCTAATCCTGTCTTCCAAAGTGCTTGCCACCCCTCCCCCTCCCATCTTGGTGTCATCCACAGTTTTTATAAGCATACTCTCCACTCAGTTAGCCGTGTCATTAATGAAAATATTGATTAGTACCAGCCACAGAACAGGACCCCTGCAGAACCTCACTAAATACTACATCTCCATTTAACAGCAAACCATTGATAACCACTTTTTGAGAATGGTCTCTCAACCAGTTATGTACCCATTTCATAGTAATTTCATCTAGACCACATTTTTCTTGTTTGCTTATGATGGTAGATTGTGCATGACATCTTTAATCTGAAGATAAACGGAAAGATAGCATTGCTTTATAAAAATATTTGTAATTCTACATTTTGCTAGCAACAAGGCCAATGGTATAAATTTAGCTGATTCTTTTTCCATTAGAGTAATGATCAAGGCTAGGAGATAATCCGATAGGTGACCTGTTAGTACATTAAAGCATGGTAATAATGTTTTGTTTCTGAGATCATATACATCTAGAAAGTCATATTTCATCATAAAATGAACCCCCCCCACCTTTTTTTAACGTGGCGCCTCTGCCCCTTTTTCCATTGTGAAGGGCATTATCTAATTTGTCTGAGGAGAAGGTTTCACATGTCATATGAAAATATCTGTAATCTGTCATTAATGGAATGTTTTTGTTGGGATATTCATGTTCAAGATAATAGGGCTGACTCACCACTGCTTCACTGCCATTTTACATCAGCAGAACTGCATTAGACTGGAGAATCAGACCCTGTTACGCTATTCTGGTACAAACTTGAAAGAGTCTGAGTCTGGAGACTGTAGCCATTCCAGTTTGTGTGTATTTGTTATTTCAAAGACCTTTCTGCTTCTTGTATGATATTTAAAAATGACACGTATTTAGCAAAACGTTAATCTTTCTGGTTTTATCATTTGTATGTAAGTCAAAGTATTACAGAAATAAGCAAGTAACAGTATTAGGATATACCATAACATTAAATGAAAGCTCGGTCTTAAGTCATTGATCACAAGTTTTAATTTTCCTGATTGTTTTAGAACAATGAGAAAAGCATTAATTGTAAGGAACATAATAAAACACCCAATGTATTCATGTGACTATCACGTTGTGGGGTGCTTCAGAGTTTTGCTTTCTTTTCTAAATTCCAAAAAATGTATTTTACTATTCCGCTTGAACTAATTTCTGAGGATTATTGGACACGAGAAGGATTTTAGCCAGTCATCACCCAGAAAAGTCAAATGCTATTATCTCATGAACAGTATTGAAGTTTTTATTGACACTGCTGTTCTCACTCAGTTGAATTCAATGGAATTATACCAGGAGTGGTTTTGGCCCTACATATCCAGTCATATCTCTCCATATTCACAAAAATTCCATTCAATTATTTACTTTTTAGACCTGGCCTCATTTTATAACCTATCCTTGAACAATTAGTCATACAAGCCTTGCCCCCCAATAGTGGCATCACTGAAAAGGCCAAGAAAGCTGCAGCACAAAACTTTCAGAAAAGCAAGAAACAATTTTATTTTTATTTCTTGAGGTGTGTTGATTCTTCTTTTGCCCTGAATAAGAAATAGTGTTCATTGGGCCAAAAGAAATCTGATGAGGTTCAACAAGGACAAGTGCAGAGTCCTGCACTTAGGACGGAAGAATCCAATGCACCGCTACAGACTAGGGACCAAATGGCTCGGCAGCAGTTCTGCAGAAAAGGACCTAGGGGTTACAGTGGACGAGAAGCTGGATATGAGTCAACAGTGTGCCCTTGTTGCCAAGAAGGCCAATGGCATTTTGGGATGTATAAGTAGGGGCATTGCCAGCAGGTCGAGGGACGTGATCGTTCCCCTCTATTCGACACTGGTGAGGCCTCATCTGGAGTTCTGTGTCCAGTTTTGGGCCCCACACTACAAGAAGGATGTGGAAAAATTGGAAAGAGTCCAGCGGACGGCAACAAAAATGATTAGGGGTCTAGAACACATGACTTATGAGGAGAGGCTGAGGGAACTGGGGATGTTTAGTCTGCAGAAGAGAAGAATGAGGGAGGATTTGATAGCTGCTTTCAACTACCTGAAAGGGGGTTCCAAAGAGGATGGCTCTAGACTGTTCTCAGTGGTAGCAGATGACAGAATGAGGAGTAATGGTTTCAAGTTGCAGTGGGGGAGATTTAGGTTGGATATTAGGAAAAACTTTTTCACTAGGAGGGTGGTGAAACACTGGAATGCGTTACCTAGGGAGGTGGTGGAATCTCCTTCCTTAGAAGTTTTTAAGGTCAGGCTTGACAAAGCCCTGGCTGCGATGATTTAATTGGGGATCGGTCCTGCTTTGAGCAGGGGGTTGGACTAGATGACCTCCTGAGGTCCCTTCCAACCCTGATACTCTATGATTGATTCATTGCATTGGAGCATACTCACGATAAATAACTTCTAAATGTTTCAGTTGCACTTGGATGCTTAATTGCAGAAGGAGATGGCTGCCACTCAGACCTCACTACCGTGAACATAATCTGTTACTTACACAGGTGTTTCAGACCTGCATGGAATATAAGACCACAGATTCTGTTCTCTCAGGGTGATCTACTCCTACAATTTCAAATTTTCTCTGTGCTAGGCATCTTAATTCCTTTGCATTCTGTTTCTCCATTAAAAATAAAAGTAAATCCTGTGGAAGAATCTGGCATGGAGTAAATCTTAATTTAATGCACACTCACTCATGGATCAAGGATTTCATGAATTAAATAGGTCAGTCTCAGGAGTAATAAAAACCTCATTCTTTGAATAGCTGATAATGCAGACATTTGTCAGGCAGATGTAAGAGGAATCGAGTTAAAAAATCTTTAAAGGAGCATTTGAGTTTGTAAATTACATCTGCAGGATAAAATATTAAGAACTGGCAAATTAAGAAGTATAGAGTAATTGTCTTTAATTTTAAAAATAGATACAAATGAGAATGGTCCCTGACAGTGGAGGAGCAGAAAGGAGAAATCTCTTTTCTTCTGAGCTCCATTTTTAATTTCCATAGTTTCTACAACGTTAATATTTGTTGATGTTCATTATTCTCCATGACATATCAATTACAGCTGGAACCGCTCTTTTTGATTTAGTTACTGTATGCCAAAAGGAAAAACAAAGGAACAAATTCTGATACTACTCTGATGGCCATGGTATACAAACAACAGAATAAAACAAAATTCCTTTTGACAACAATGGGAGTTTTGGTTGATTGAGGGCTACGAAATTTGGTTCAAAGTGACTTTTTATTATCAAAGTCTAAAAGCCAACTTATTGGGCTTTATCAAATCTCCCATGCCAGGCTTCACATGTCATTTCCCCCTGTAGTTCCAGACAAGTCTGCTTTTTTGAAGTCCTATATTCTTCTGCTCTCACTCCTACCTTTCCTTAGGATCATGAAGTCTATCTCACTTCATGATCACTTTCACCCAAATTGTCTTCCACCTTCAGATTAGCAACCAAATCCTCCCTGTTGGCTAGAATCAAACCTAAAATGGCTGTTCCCTGGGTTACTTCCTCCACTTTCTGAAACAGAAAGTTGTCCCTAGTACATTCCAAGAATTTGTTGGAAATGTTGTGTTTTGCTGTATTACTTTTCCAACAGATGTCTGTGTAGCTAAAGTCCCCAACTGCTACAGGGTGTTGTGTTTTGAATATTTCTGTTATTTGTTCTAGAAATGCCTCCTCCTCCTCCTCTTCCTGATTTGATGGCCTATAGTAGACCCCTATCCTGATGTCACCCATATTTTCCAACTTTTATCTTTCCCCAGTGACTTTCAACTGGTCTTTCTCTCACCTTCTTCTGGACCTGAGAACAAGTTATATATTCTTGATGTATAATGCAACAGCTCCTCCCTTTCTTCCCTGCCTATTCTTCCTCAACAAGTTATAGCTCTCTATACCAATATTCTAGTCATGAGATTTATCCTCCCAAGTCACTGTGATGCCAATTAAATCATAATTCAACTTATGTACTAATACATCCAGTTCATTTCCTATATTCCTTGCATTTGTGTGTAGACATCTAAGATGCTGAACAGATTCCTCCACTGATTTTCCTATTGTTGTTCGTAATTTTCCATGCTTCCCCCCTGCCACCCCAAAACATCTAACTCTCTGTTAAGGTTGCTTTTTTTATGCTTACCTGGTAGCATTTGTCACTGCCCCTTTTAAAGCTAGTTTAAAGCTCTACTCACCAGGTTGGCAGGTTGATGCACAATTTATGTTCTTCCTCTTCTTGGTCAGGCGGACCCCATCTCTTCCCAGCAGTCCTCCTTCTCAGAACAGCATGTTCAGTTCCTAGGGTGATAATCTGAAGGTACAGACTAGAGACCAAGGACACTGTTCTTCCTTCCTACACTGGGACAGGAATGGAAGAAGATTGGATGGAAGTGGTGTTCTTAGCCACTGCTCCCTACATTCTGGCACAGTCAGGAGCCTGCCCAGCCCCTGATGTAAGTAGCTCTCAGTCTCAGTACAATGTCTCTGGCTAAGCCCAGACCCTTCCCTGGCCTACCCGTTTCCTCCCAATATGGAGGGACTTTGAGCATGGTTAGAGTCCTCTTGCTATCTCTACATCAATGGGCAAGGCCTCATGCTCAGAGAATATTCTCAGGGAGCAACTCCTGCCCCCTTTAATACCCATTTGTACTGCCAGAGTGACACAAAGTGTAACCGTAAATTGGGCCCCAGGTGTGGATAAAATAGGCCTATGACACAAGTTAGGGTCTAATTTGGGCATAATTCCCTCTTTCTCTGCACGGTTGAGGCAGTGAAAGTGATCTCATTGGCAATCAACTATCATAAACATTTCAGATAGTCAAACCTTCCACTAGAAAATCACATTGCTGTATATCAGATTTAATCATTTCCCCCCATCCTTTAACTTGCCTCAAACATTATATTTGTAAGCTCATCATATGACAAATGCTTTTAAAAGACAATGGTCTCCCAGTACTTTCTGCCAGCATATTGTATGTAATCACAGGAATATGCATCTCATGATAGTACAGATATTACATGAATATCTAGATATTCATTAAAAACTATCAGAATACCCACATATTTGTGTGTGTGGGGGAAATCTCTATTCTCCCGGGCCTGACTCTGAACAGAGAGTTCAGATGGCCCCATTAACAAGGAGGGATTTCACTGGGGGCTCTGCACAGGGATCTGCTACATGAGGTTCATTGAAGGGTCAGGACCTTCTTTTTCCACTGCACTTGTTCATCTGATTTACAGCCCACAGGAAGAAGCAATATTTGGTTCTCACACCTTAAAGAACTATAATGTAAATACACAACTCACAGCATTAGGAGAGACAAGGTGATGCTGGAAAGATGGAAGGATATGATAATCCCACTTTTCACATGCAGTTAAGTATTCAGTATCTGAATAAGAAGTCAGCACCAGTTGAGAATTCAGAGACATAAAATTATAAACCTTTTTATAATCAATTGATAAGCAATAAATACTTTAATAGAAATGACTACTTTCTATATAATAAATATCCACTTCTGGATTCTAGCTTTAGGGCTGCAATATAATGAGCACCTCAATTTAAGGCTGGCAGCAGTATATTTCCTGCTCATTGTATTTTATTTATTTATTTCAATTTCTTTGACCTGTCTACCAATGGCTCTAGGCACTTTATACAGTTAAAACATACAACATCAGACTAAATCTACAAAATACATGATGCACACTGCATAATATTATGCCAATACCCATGCTGGAAGAAATAATTATAACAAAAATAATCCCACACAAACACTCTATTACTTTAAAAAAAAGGAATACTTGTGGCACCTTAGAGACTAACAAATATATTTGAACATAAGCTTTCGTGAGCTACATTTATGCTCAGATAAATTTGTTAGTCTCTAAGGTGCCACAAGTCCTCCTTTTCTTTTTGCGAATACAGACTAACACGGCTGCTACTCTGAAATCTATTACTTTAGTGATTTCTTCCCATGTCTTAAAGGTTAAGAAATTCTGGTTCTGAAGGTCCAAAGTGGGGACCTTCCACAATCCAGGAAAGGTCACACTAGTCTCACCAAGCAGAGATTACCTTTTTTTTTCTCTTTGCCACAGTCACTACCTAATCATCTAGCAATAATCCCAGATCTAATGACTCCCCCTCTTTACACAACATAGGTAACATGAAGGAACCACAAGGGAAGAGTGGTATCTGCATAATTATGTTTACTAAACATATGTATAACAAGAAAGGCCTAGCTACATGCACTCCTGCTCTGATAGGGTTCAGGTGGCTTCTTTATCAATTTGACCTTTAGTACATTCTACAGAGGTAACAGATCTAGGAGCAAAAGCAACAGCCTTTCAGGTTGTTGACTTAAAGGCTTGGCCATTGAAATGTACTCTCTCTCTAGACAAAAGGTCGGCTCTCAACCAAGAGAACTGGTTTGTCACAGGAGAGGTCACCTATCAATGAAGTTACTTGGTAGGATTCTGTGGTCTCCTGTTGAGGCTGACCAAGGAGTCACCTGACAAAGGAGATTGGAAGGCTATAAAGGGCAGAAGCTGCTCTGTTTGGTCTTTCTCTTCAGACATGTCACACCAGCTTAAATGAGGGAAGTTGCTGCAGGAGCTGGATGAAGTCAGGGGAAGGAGTGGACCCTGCCTGCCTGAATACAGATGATTCTCTAAGGACAACCAAAGGAAAGATGAACTAGAATAAGGGGAAATGCATGCAGGGTTTATATTTTTTAATAGATCTGTGTAATTCTCATGTGATCAAAGAAGTAGCAATAATGATTTAGAATTCTGTGGAACGTGTCTGTATGTTATTGGCTATACCTACCATGTAGCCCCTTGCACAAGGCTTACATCTTCAGTGGGATTCTAGCAGTGGGTGTATTTAAGCTACAGGAGTCTGAGGAATCACTACTGGTTCCAAGGGGCAGGGGACAGTGAGGTCTCAGCTCCCAGGCAGGAGTGTTAGGTAGAGCTCTGCATTCCAAGAGTGCCCTTGAGGGCCCTAGGACTTGGATGGTGCCTGGGCTTTGTTACGACTCCAGAGGCTTAAAACATCCAGGGATCCAGAGACTGGATTCTCACAAAGTGATCTGGTGGGCTGTCACCAAAGGTAGCCACACTGGATCTGTGACCACCTCCATTGCCCTCTTGTTTAATTTTTCAAACAACCACCTTCATGCTTTTTCACATGTTGCCCTTCATGCTTGGAAGGTGCTCCCCATAAACACCCACAAAACTATCTCATTATGATCCTTCAAAACCCTCCTTAAAACTCTCCATTGCCATGAAGCCTACAAAAAACTTGACAATGGCTAGGTTGCTGGTGTGCAGCAGAGACCATTGCATATCATGCTGACCAATATTGTCTCATTATTTCCTTGTACTTCCCCATAACTCTATCTGTATCCATCTGTTGTCTCTTGTCTTATACATAGACTGAGTCTTTGCCCCAAAGAGCTTAATCTTTTTGTTCTGTGTTTCCTCTCATAATGGAGTCCTGCTCCATGACACTACAATAAAAGAAATAAATAATAATAATGTAGGTATTCTGTTGCGGTCTCTTACTTCTTTCTTAGGGCTTATTCAACAACAGCCAGTTCCCTCCCCTGGTACTGAGAATCCATTCAGCAAATTGATGGTTTTCAAATACATAATATGAAAATTAAATTCCCACAGAAAATTAGAAGCTTCTAAGGTAAATATGGGCAGACACAGCTCTAACCTTTATATATGAATCTGGGAGTGACGGGTAAGTAAAGATGTTGACTTTAGATATTGAATACTAAAACTGGAAACAAAGTGCGGAGGACAAGCTGCTATAATTTTTAGAAATGGCACATCACAGATTAAGATCAACGAAAACTGATTAATTCAAATAGGATAAATAGGATTCACACAGATTATTGAACTTGTCACCTTTTTCATTTGGAGAACTGGAATTGATTCAAGCTAACTGACTGACCCATAAAATTGTTCAGTTCAAATGCTTCTACTTAATCGTATTAAGTGACTGGCTGTAGTCATTAACTGTATCAGCAGAACAGTAAGCCTAGATAAGCAATTAAAAAATAAATCCTGAACAACTGGCTAGTTGGCAGGCGTGACTACATGTTCTTCACAGACTTTGAAACTCATCTCAAAATGTGTATTTCTAATATAACAAAAATAATAACTTGTAATTAACTTCAAAACATCCCAGTAAGGAACATACTATTATGTTTACTGTACAGCTATGTAACCTGAGAATGGAGAGTTTAAGTCACTTGGCAAATGTCAGATAGTAGATCAGTGGCAGAACCAGAAATCAAAGTCAAGGGTGCCTGCTTCTAAGTCCCTTGCTCTAAGAAAATATTTGCAGATGACATTAGTTCTAAAGGGTTGATCCTAAGTATGCTAAATGATTGATACATTTTAGATATGCTACATTGATATGTTGGCTTTATGTTCTCTTAACATAGCGGAATTGTGTTCATACTTTTGCACTGAACCTTAAATGTATGCTAGGAGAAAATCTTTATCTAAATTAAGCCATGTAGATCACAGAGAGGCAGCTGCGGTTTCCACTAAACTAGACCATTCTTTCTTTCCCTGCTAATCCATGTGATTCATTACTTTAATCATTATGGGCCTGATTCTTCCACTCTTTACCACAGGGAGTGGTGTCTACTCATATGAGCAATCCTATTGATTTCAGTGGGACTACTTATGTAAGTACTAACTCAACATAAGTAAGGATGGCAGAAATGGGCCGTTATTAGTCATATTGTGGTATAAGTTCTGACCTCATTAGTGTCTGTGCAAACTTGCTGAATTTAGTGGGAGAAAATTAGGACAGAGTCAATGTATGTTTTGGACCGGTATCTTGATACACTTTTAAGATTCTTTTGGTATAACTTCTGCTTACAGAGAATCAGAACATTAGTTTGAATGTCTGCTCCTGTAACGTAGAATTTTCACTAAAAACAGCTGCTGAATGGGGTCTTCATTAATCAGTTAAGGCTGTTTTAGTGTCTGCCAAATGTGACAATTTACCATCAACAGGGAAAAATACAAAATTGAAGGACTACATTTGCTAGCAACTGTATTTTTTTAATCAAGCATAAGATTTATTCTCTGCTAAATTTGCAGTCAAGTTAGTTCTTGAGCATTATGATAATTGTATATCACACAGTCACAGATTTCCAACATGTGTATTTTAGAGAGGTAGACATTCAGTAAAGTCTGTGAACTGTTTTGAACTGGATGACCATCGGAAACTTATCAGACTGTATTTTGCATTAAAATGTATTAACCTATCATATATGTCCATCATGACACGATGAAAAACTGAATCTAAATCAAAGTCAAAGCT